CCCCCACCCACACTGAAATGGGCGGGACAGAAGCGAAAGGTGGTTCTAGAGACAGGCAGGGATTTCAAGGTGTTTCGAAGAGGAAGTGATGAGAAGATAAGTTTATTTTCTATTTAAACATAAAACAGCATTTTAATAACAGCTATAGGTGACATAGATACTTTATTATAGTATCGTATTTAAATGTATGCCTGAGAAACACATAATATTGCCCCTTTAAAAAATTTTGAAGATATCTCCTACCGCTATCACACAAGCACTGCTCATGTTTTTGGGAATGCCACGTGAGATTGAAAGGAGAGGTGGGGATGCATGACAGCAGTAACAAAAAAACAAACAAAAAAAACATAATTAGCCATGAGTCATGCTTGGATTTGAATCAGTATGTTTTACATCCAATGACAAATACATTGGACGATATTCTGGCAATTAAGTGATATGTCCACAGTTGTTCAAGTCCGAGACAAGACCGAGACCATCAAAAATTGGTCTTGAGACTTGAGTACGACAACACTGTTGATGATTTAAACAGAGCTTCTGTTCTGCTCTATAATGCCCATCTGTGATCATCCTACAGAGTTGCAAGTTATGATAATGTCATGAAAAAGAGCCCAGAAAGGGGGGTGTACCAGTCCGATTTTATCACTTCCAGAGTGATACATTCACGTTTGGATGAAACTGTTTGTATCAATCATTTGATTAATGCTTTTAGTTTACATGATTTTTATTATTCCTTGTTTTTAATTTTCCTGTCCTCTTTTATGTATCTTAAAGATGACAGGTTGTCAGAAGCATCAAGCCTCAGGATCCAACAAAGCAGCTGCAACAGAACCTGCAAAGTAACACTTGGATCATCCTGGAAGGAAACAAGCTGCATTACGGGTCAAAGTACTTTTCAGTCAGTAGGAAAGAAATACATTTTATGCCTTCCTTGAAGGTGAAGAAAAAAGGTGCATCAGTCAATGTCAACAATAAGGCTGTCCATGTAAATATCTGCTCATTTGCATGTCCACATCCCTTTCACCTTGTGCAAATCCACTAAGCTGTTACTCTCTGTGAGTTATAGTTTGTTGCTGTGACGCTGTGTCCTAGAAGAGCTGCAGTCCAAGTTGGGGTCTTGTATTTGATTCCACATCAAATAAATCTGATCCGGAAGAAATCTGTGCACAAGCAAAAGCTCTTTGTAAAAGCAGGGGTCGTATTCATCCGGTGTGACGGCGGCGATTTGGAATCCAGCTGTCCTCACACCCATGTGGAAGGACGGGCCGAGGCCTGCTTTGGCCAAACACATCCCCATGTAAACGTCGTCAATGGGAAGAATGGGGATGGATTTGGACATACGATATATAACCATTGCCGTGAAGCCAGACAGAAGGAAGCCCCCACCTCCACAGTAAGGAGGGTAGGATTCTGACTCCTGCACCTGAACTGGGATAAAATATTTGCTCCCTGCTGATCGAATGGGCCCGACGTTTGTAATCAAATGACCCGTGAAGAGGTGTTTGCTTCCATTGTTGCCCTTGAGGCTTTGGAGGTACACAACCATGTTGTTCGTGTTTGCAAACACGTCATCGTCACCGTTAAAGAGGAAACGAGCATTGGGACAGTTTCTTTCCATCCACTCCAGGAAGAGAATCTGCTTTAGGGTGAGGTTGTAGAATGTGTCACTGAAGTCCCACTGGAGGATGTCACTGGACTCCTGTTGCTCCAGCTCCAGCAGTTTGTTGAGCTTCTTCTTCTTGTAACCAGTTTCTGATGTTCCAGTGAGGAAGATCCTTCGAATCCAGACACCGTTGTGCCTCCTCTCTTTGGCCCAGGTTTTGCGTAGCACCTCTCGGCGGTCGTAATTATGAGGGGAGCTTTTAATAACCAGCAAAAGGAAGACCTCCTCGGATTTGGAAACGCCCCCACATTTTTCAGGGAGGTCCAGCAGCATGGGGAAATGGCGACAATGTCGATAATAGAGTATGTCCTGGATATTCTGCGAGAGAGTTGTGAACCCAGAGATGTTGCTGGCAGTGATATTTTGCTGGCATTTTGACCAGGAGAAAATATAGGAGTTATTTTGGGGTTTGTTGTTKACCTCCTTTACGTTTATGTTGGTTTGTACGGATTTGGGTGGATCAGAGTCTTTAGAAAGATGGAGGACCAGCAGACCAAGAGCTCCAGCCAGGAAGAAAAATCTTGCCTTGATTGATCTCATCTTTGACCCTCTGAAACACAGAAATTCAGTTCATTAAATTAATGTCTGTACTTCTTTAACTAATGGAGGAATAATGAACAATAGTCTRTAAATACATACAACCCAGATGAATAAAAACATGTAATATATTGGAAAGTCAGAAAGAAGAACCTGTGGTTTTGAGGCTGGTAATACTTTGAAACAGGCACCATGTAAGACATTAYCAGTCTTTCGTATCTGTGGGTGATTTCTGGTGATGACATAACTTTAACACTACATAACTTCAGCTTCAGAGGATATTTATTTAACTTTCATGAAATGATCCTTGGCTGTACAACTACCACTGATTGGCTTTTGGAGGCAACCTAATTCAAGGCAGGCATCACAGCTAGTGAACAAAAACTGGCTCCAACTCAGTAATCTTTAGATAAATGTAGCTGAAATTTATGATGGTAACTGAGTCATTCTCAAACATCCTCCTGAATTGATGTCTCACGATACCGCATGAGATTATGCATCATTTATTAAAGGTTTGACCAAAATTTGCTACAGTTCTGACATGTCTAAACAAAAACTGATTTTAGAGTTAAACTCTGATCAGGAACGATGACGGGGATCCCTTCAAGGACTGATAGGACTTCAATCTGCATTTTTCATTTGACGTGACACTGACCTTCATCTCTATTTTTGTCTCACCATGCCAGTCTTAGTTTTTGATAAATGTTTTTATTGTTGGTTGCTTGTTGTTGCTGCCATTTCGGGGCCTGGTCTGCTCTCCTGCTGATGCTGCATCACTTAATTAAACGCCTCCACTTAAGGCAACAGCTCATCCCAAACTGAGCCAYCCTTTGTCCAAATAAGCACTAGACYCTKAAAGGTGCCAATTATTCAAGTTAAACACCCAATCTATACTGAAGAGCCTTGTGTGTACAAAAAGCAAACATAAAATCGTAAAAGTTGTCTTGCTTAGTCATGTATCTAGTTTTATCTTTACTGTCAGAACTCAAGTTTCTACAACTGTGGTGAGTATCTGAAGTGAGAAATTGATCGTTGCATCAGCACTTTTTTGGCGAGGGAGGCTCCTTCATAACACTTTTTCTGAATGTGGTCTATATGTGGCACAGTGTGATGAAGTGAGACACTTAACCAAGCCTAAACTTTCTTGCTTGTTTCTCACTACTTCAGCTCTGATTAGAAAATGCCACAGCAGAGTTCATAATGTGTAAGTGTCTGAAAATGCTCTGATAGCAACGGCTTCTTATCTACGGCCACTGATCTCGCATTTTTGTCAAAGCAAAGCACATGGCCGTGAAAAARATAACAGAAGTTCTCACGTCATGCTGGCATGAATTGCAACAACAAAAAAAAAAAAAATCAATAGAACTTCCGCGAAACATTCTTCAGGGACATTCTACCGTGGAGTTGGGTCATGGTTGGCTAACGAAAGCCAGAATGGAAAGAATGACTGATCACTTGTTCATGTTAACTTTAAGGCTAGTTTGTAAATTTAATACTAGACTTTTTACAACGAATTTAAAATGAAACCGTATAAATACATCAAACAAACAAGCTAATGTCTCATATTGTTAATATTTTCATTTCCTATCAGCTTTCACAAAATCTGCAATGAAGATAATTGACACTTAATAATTAAATTTGCTGTGTCCAGGAACACAAGGAAACATACTGTTACTACTTTAGACTTTAGTATGATTACAATAAAAGTTAAACACACACACACACACA